AGAAAGGAAGAAAGGAAGAAAGAAAGAAAGAAAGGAAGAAAGGAAGAAAGACAGAAAAAAAGGAAGAAAGGAAGAAAGGAAGAAAGAAAGAAAGAAAGAAAGAAAGGAAGAAAGAAAGAAACAAACAAACAAAGATAAATGAAATATCAAAGAAATTTATAAAAGTGATTATGAAGACAGGAAGAAAAAAAGATGAAATGGAAAGAAAGGTGGCAAAAAAAAATTGGAGTGAACTATAAACCAATATCTAAAAATATAAGGGAGAAAATAAAATAAAAAAGAAAGAAAGAGAGAGGCAAAGAAAGTAATAGAAAGAAAGAAAGGAAAGAAAAAAAAGAAATGAAGATGAGTTAATTATAAGTCAATGTCTAAAATGATTATGAGGAAAGACAGAAAGAAATGAATAAGTAAAAGGAAGAAAGAAATGAAAAAGAAAAAAGAAACAAATGAATAAGAAAATAAAAGATACGAATAAGAAAAAGAAAGAAAGAAGCAAATAAAAAAAAGAAAGAAATAAAGAAGAAAGAGAAAGAAATGAATAATTGAAGGAAGGAACAAATAAGAAAAAGAAAGAAAGAAATAAGAAAAAGAAAGAAACAAACAAATAAGACAATGACAGAAAGAAATGAAAAAGAGAAAGAAAGAAATATAAGCAGCATCTAAAAAAAAGAAGTATGGAAGAAAGAAAAAGAAAAGAAAGAAAATATGAATCAATTATAAGTCAATGCCTAAAAAGATGAAAAAAAGTATGAAAGAAAGAAAGAAAGAAAGAAAGAAAATGATAAGGAGAAGAAAAAACATTTGCAAAGCATATAGATAGTGCTAGCAAAAGATTGGAGAGAAGGAGGTTTGGAAAAGAAAGAAAGAAAGAAAGAAAGAAAGAAAGAAAGAAAGAAAGAAAGAAAGACAGAAAAAAAGAAAGTGTGCCTGACAAAGTACCGAAAGAAAGTCTGGGACAAGACATGGAAATAACATTGCCATTACGAGCAGCAGCAGCAGCAGCAGCAGTCTTCCATTACACAACTCATCAGACAATGAAGCAAGAGATTTGGCGCCTCTGTAGCATAACAATATTACTCAACATTACATTTCTTCTCCTGCTTGCTTAACTTACTTATAGTATATAAGAATAGGGAGTTTAGACATTTTTCTCAGGGTGGTGTTGGGGTATTTCTATAACATTTTTCCCCGTGTCAGAGCAGCCATTTCCACCAGCACTGTCGTCTCCGAGGACTTCATCGTCGTGGTTGTATCAATCGTAGTTACTGCCAAAGTGAACGTTATTTAATTGTTGTCATTTTTTTTCAAGAATAATTCTCGTATTGCCAGTGAAAAGAGAAATCAGAAACTATTTAAACAATTATATTTACTCTACACAGCCGATCATACAAAGAATATACAATTATATGTTCAAACATCCATCCATGCATGTATATTAAGATATTGCCTAGGCATATCCATATATATATATATATATATATATATATATATATGCATATATATATTATAACTTAACTGATTTAAAATAAGCTTGAGGATAAAATGGAACTAATGCTTTTAATTTAATTACAAAATTAAATTTAAAGTTTTTAGCTTCCATTCTTGAAACCTGGTTATTACTGTGTAGCAAAAAAACAATATTTTAAATCAGTTAATTTATAATACTAATGCTCTGTAATTTTACATTGAGCACTATTTTGTAAAAAATAAAAAATATCAATAAGAACACCAGATTACATATCTTACTGTTCTTTTCTTTTTTTATTTAAATATACATATAAATATATATATATATATATATATATATATATATATATATAAAATATAAGAATAATGAAAATTAGAAAATTAAAATTTTCAGACACACTGGGTTGCATATTGATATTTTTTTGTTTTATTATTTCAATTATGTTCAACAACAAGTTTCATGAGCATGGCATTCATCAGGAGAAAAAAATCCTGCTTGTTAGTAGCAGTGAACTATAGAATATATATATATATATATAGATATATATATATATAGATAGATAGATAATATTAGTGGCCAATATATATATATATATATATATATATATAAATATATAAATACATATATATATATATATATATATACATATATATATATATATATATATATAATATATAATTGGTGTATACGGAATGAATTCAATAACCAACAATTACTATTCTTAAAAGAGTGCTCAAAACAAAGTAGATGGGTATTTTTAGTGATTTTATAACATATTTATGTTATAATTTTTTTTTATAAAAAAAAATTATATATATATATATATATATATATATATATATATATATATATATATATATAATTTTTATAAAAAATAATTATATGCACATATATATATATATATATATATATATATATATATATATATATATATATATATAAATAAATTCCCAAGAGGATAGCTTTCAGGTAGAACTCAATGTCCAGGACAGAGGACAGAGTAAGAATATAATATAAAAGGCTCAAACACTAATATTCCATGGTTATAATTTATTACATTGGAATCGTAATGACGATCCAATTTTTTGAATTTGTAGGTCTGATGAATTGGATCATGATTACAATTCCAATGTAATAAATTATAACCATGGAATATTAGTTTGAACCTTTTTATATTATATTACATTATATATATATATATATATATATATATATATATATATATATATATATAGATATATATGTATGTATGTATGTAAGTAGAGACTGAAATCAACATATATCAGTGAGAGTATATTTTTATGCTTGAACATTCATAATGGTGGTAATTCTGTAGACATGTTATATATATATATATATATATATATATATATATATATATATATATATATATATATATATATATATATTTATATATATATATTTGCTTGAGGATGAATCAGGGCTTGATACTTTAATTCAATTTAATTTCAACAATTATATTAAGGTTTTCAGATCTCATTTTGAAACATGAGAACTCTTATGCAGCAAAAGGAATATTTTAAAAGTAATTATCATATATATATATATATATATATATATATATATATATATATATATATATATATATATATATATATATAATCTTTATATATGGATAATCCCAAGGAGTTCTTAGAAATGATTATCCAGGTAAAACTCCTCATAAACAGCTCATTGTGTAAGAATAAGGACAAATCATACAGAGCAATATCATTAATTAAGAAAAATTTGAAAGAAAAATCTTACATTTGAATTTCCATTTATAAACATAAATTTAAGTTTATAGCTGGAAAATTAAAATGTAATGCTTTTCTTTGAAAATTTTTCTTAAATATATATACATATATATGTATATTAGGGAAATTAAAGACAAAGTGGAACTAAGGGTAGGTGACTTGGAATTTTAAAATTTTAAATTTATTTTAAAATTTTTTTTTTAAGATGTGTTTGGGTGTATAGCTTAGCAAGCTTCAATTAGCTTTTTTTTCTTTTTTCTTTTTTGTTATTAAATATCCCACATTATGATAATGGAAGATTTACCAAGAAAGCAGAACTGTTATAAGAAACTGGATGCAAATTTACTCTTGTTGTTCTAACAATTAAAGCACTTTCGATACTCTTAGTAAATTGCTTTCTATATTAATTAAAGTGGCTGTTTATCATTATCTCTCTCTCTCTCTCTCTCTCTCTCTCTCTCTCTCTCACATACACACACACACCCATATATATATATATATATATATATTATACAGTGTTACATTAGAACATGCACATAACCATTAAAAAAAACAAGATGTACAGTTTTGTAGTAGGTTTGTGCATGTTCTAATGTAATACTGCATAATAAATAAATATTTACAGCTCTACTTTTGTATTGAGTCCTGTTTTGAATTAATGTTTTGAACAATGAAATTTTATTCTTTGTTCTTTAACATTTGTATATATATATATATATATATATATATATATATAAATGTAAAAGTGAACATAGGAGTCAACACTTAGAGGTGACAGTCTGTTTCATGCTAGTTGCAATCGTCAGGCCACAAGTGCTGTTATTTTTCTCGGCTATTTATATATATATACAATTCAGTGGTGCATTGTGGGTAGTCTATTTTGGCGGTTATTTTACCGGAAGTCGTTTATTTTTTTATTTTTTTATTTGGGTTAAATTATTCTGCTTGTTTTTATTCATTTTTTATTTTTAATTTTTTATTTTTATTTCTTATCTTATATATTTATTTATTTATTTTTATTTTTATTTTAATCGGTGTTTTTATTCACATAGTAAAATTTGTTTATATTGCTTATTTAATAGTTTTATTTTGGTTTGGGAAGATAATTAAAGCTATTTATTCAATTTTGGTGTTGATTGTTATAGTTTATTCTAATTCTTATTTTGGCGGGAACAATTTTTAATTTGTTTATTATTTCATGTATTTATTTGGATTGATTATCTTTATTTTTTCTAATGGTTAAAATAAAAAATAAATAAAAAAATATATAAGATAAGAAATAAAAATAAAAAATAAAAAATAAAAATGAATAAAAACAAGCAAAATAATTTAACCCAAATAAATAAATAAACAAATAAATGACTTCCGGTAAAATAACCGCCATAATAGAATACCCACAATGCACCACTGGCCCATATATATATAAATAGCCGAGAAAAATAACAGCACTGGTGGCCTGACGATTGCATCTAGCATGAAACAGACTGTCACCTCTAAGTGTTGACTTCTATGTTCACTTTTATATTTACACACGCTCTATCTCTGATATTGAGCACTTTATCCCATAAATATATATATATATATATTTCTTCATATATATATATATATATATATATATATATATATATATATAGATAGAGAGAGAGAGAGAGAGAGAGAGAGAGAGAGAGAGAGAGGATTAATATGATTATAGATTAGTCACTTTATGCTGATTTATGCTACCTTCAGCATCCTAATTCAAGATTTTTGTAGGTGAACCTGTCCATCCACTCTTTGGGGGCTATCAGCAATTTATATACAAGATTCATTAAAACTAACTGACAGATACAAGTATTTAAGTAAATGCTCTGTTTATAATAAACAGTATTAAATAACATTTACCGGCCTGAATGTCCGAGAAATTTTTCATAGAAAATATTCGTCCTTTGACAGGATTCGAACCTGCATCCTATTTTTATAAAAAAGAATGTTAAACATAAAACTGTCTTTAATAAATTGTCGGACCTTGTCCATTTCTTAATATATGACGTCATTTGTTTACATTTGATACGCCAGAGCAGTTATGAATGTACGAGATTCATGGAAGATTGAAGTTTATAAGCAGTAAATTTGACCTTGCCTACCAAATGCTCCTTTGTGGCCGAGACGGTTAAGGCACGTCAGCGTAAGTGACGGTTCCGTATAGGATGCAGGTTCGAATCCTGTCAAAGGACGAATGTTTTCTATGAAAATTTCTCGGACATTCAGGCCGGTAAATGTTATTTAATACTGTTTATTATAAACAGAGCATTTACTTAAATACTTGTATCTATAAAAAAGAACGTTAAACATAAAAATGTCTTTAATAAATATATATATATATATATATATATATAATAGCTGGCCACTCGTATTTGTGGATGCCTATCTACTAGGGCGGTTAGCCAATCCCTATTGCAGACGCTCGCACAGACACATTTTTGTTTGTTCAACAGCCACAGTACCCACCTGTGGTTTATGCTGCAACTATGCTGAGCAGACTTTACTTGCAGTTTCTGGGAGAGAGCGTGTTATCTAGCGTGATCAGTAATTTGAACAAGGCCAGCATGGTCAAGCCCTCAGCCACGATGACTTGTGGCTTTGTGCTAGCACAGCCTCAGGAGTTCCATCTACACAATTTCACTCACAAGGCTTGGGTCAACCAGTGGTATGGTTTTCAGGTTTTTCAGACACTTTCCAAAGGTGCCACACACAGCGATTGACCTCGATATATATATATATATATATATATATATATATATATATATATTTAAATTAAATTATTTGCTCTGACTTAACATTGAGCTCTCAGGATTTCATCCTCCTTGGGATTATCAATACAGATTACCAAGATTTTTATTATATTTTATATATATATATATATATATATATATATATATATATATATATATATAAATATAAATATATATATATATATATAAATATAAATATATATATATATATATATATATATATATATATATATATAAATATAAATATATATATATATATATATATATATATATATATATATATTGAAATGAAATTCACAGACAGCAGTCTTTTCATGATTATATAATTGTCAACACTGATGATTGCATATAAACATGAAAATACTGCTGCCTGTGGTGTTGGATTTCAATGCCCACTTTTATATTTATATATGCTATGTTCCTGATAATGTGCACTTTCACGCACAAATATTGTATACATTACAACTTTATATATATATATATATATATATATATATATATATATATATATATATATATTATAATTTTTTTTAAAATATGATTCTTTCACTACATAAGAGTTTTCATGTTTCAAAAACAAGAGCCAAAAAATTTCAACATAACTGTTAAAATTAAATTGAATTAAATTATCAAGCTCTGTTTCATCCCTCACTTGATACTTTAATTCAATTTAATTTTAACAATTATGTTGAAAGTTTTAGGCTCTTGTTTTTGAAACATGAGAACTCTTATGTAGCGAAGGAATCATATTTTTTTTTTAAAAAATAATTATAATTTAAGCTCTACTTCTGTATGGAGCACTGTTTTTTTTTTTTTAAATAAAAACAAAAATACTAAAGAACTCAGGATTATTTACCTAATGTGTTCTTTTTCCTATTTTTCTATATATTTTGCGCACACACACACACACACACACACACACACACACACACATATATATATATATATATATATATATATAACACACATATATATATACATATATATGCACAGATATATATATACACACACACACACATATATATATATATATATATATATATATATATATATATATATATATATATATCAATCATCTTGGACATGTGAGGGCCCAGCAACTCAGTTCTTAGAACCAAACAGCCAGACCACCCACACATGTAATTTGATTATAGTCGTGAAGTGTTCTGAAAAGCCAAATACAGAGAACTGGTGTACACAGAGTGCTACATAGTCTCCATATGACCCTCGTCAGGTTTGAATTAAAAGTCATCCTTCTCCTGGACTAGTTGCCAGCCTAAGGCAAAGAATCAAGTCTGTCTTACAATCGAAGCGACGGATTCATTGAATGTCCCAGGGGTATTTGCACACATCAGAATCTAACGAACTTGACTGGAATTTGAATTTTCTGGCACTCATTTCAAATTGTTATCCATTACACGACCATCCAATTTTCATACTGCACTGGATAAGATGATAAACTACATTCGACATCAAGGCCTCTGACCAGGAGGTTTTGAGGAACGTGGAACCACCTCTTAATTGCTGGTGTTCCCAGGTCCACCCTGACCCGGGGTGGTAGCACCTGCTAGGGTCCCAGCTATTGGCAAATAGTTAACCTCGCAATTGGGGTCAAATCACTATAAAAATGTAAAAATAGGTTTTAATACCAGAAATACTTTGTAAAAAATTATTAACAGGAGTACATTTTTGAAAAAAAAAAAAATATTACCAGCAATAAAATTTGTCAGCATTAAATAAACCCATTGAGGTTGATATGCCATAAAACAAACCAAACCAATTTTCATATATATATATATATATATATATATATATATATATATATATATATATACACTATATTAAATTTGAAGCCACCCTGAGAATTAGCATGGGATGAGCTTGATAAAGGAGAGAAAAAAATGGAAAAAGATCTCTTAGAGTCACTGAAAAACAGAATGCTTTTATTCTTTTTGACATATCTAAATCTGTCTATTCATATCTATCTATGTATCTATCTGTCTGTCTGTCTGTTCATATCTATCTATCTATCTATCTATCTATCTATCTGTTCATATCTATCTATCTATCTAATTTTTAATCTGACATTGTTCCTTACATAATGTTACACTTATGGCCACTTTTTTCCAGTCATTTTTACATCCAAAGCTCTTTCCCAGTTTATCCTTTCTGAGCAATGAAAGTCCTAATTCAACTATGTTTTGATCTTTTCCTATAATTTGGATCCCATATTATAAGCCGATATAAAACAACTTTTTTTATTTCTCCAGCAATGGTCACTAATCATTTTTAGCTTCCCATGGTGTTCTTCACATGTTTTTTCCATCTGATTTTTTTTCTATTGACTTTTTAGTGTCCAACTGTCTATTTATCTGTCATACCTGTCTAAGAATCTATTCATATCTAGTCTATTTATCTATTCATCTATCTATCTATCTATCTATCTATCTATCTATCTCATTCTGATCATATTTAAGTCTATTCATATCTATATGAGTCTGTTCATATCTATCTGTCTATCTAATCTGTTCAGATCTAAGTCTATTCATATCTATCTATCTATCTATCTATCTATCTCATTCTGTTCATATCTAAGTCTATTCATATCTATCAGTCTATTCATATCTAACTTTTTTATATCCATGTAATCAGTTGATATCTATCTCACTCTGTTCATATCTAAGTCTATTCATATATCTTTTCATATCTAATCTGTTTTCCTTTCTATCTATCTATCTATCTATCTATCATATATATATATCTATCTATCTATCTATCCCAGTCTGTTCATATCTAAGTCTTTTTCCTTTTTTTCATCCATAGCTCTTTTTCCCAGTTTATCCTTTCTGAGCAATGAAAGTCCTACCTTTGTCATTTTGATCTTTTTCCTATAATTTAGACGCCATATTATAAGTCAATGTATAACTTCTTTTTTATTTCTCCAGCAATGGTCACTAATTTTTCTAGTTTCCCCATGTTGCTCTTCACTGGTCAGATTCTTTTTTCCATCGATTTTCTTTTGTCTTTGACTTAATATCAACTGCTTCAGCCACATAACACGAGTTTGTATCATTGACATAAAGAATTCTGAAATTTCAGAAATTTTTTCATTTTGACCTGAAATAGTATTCATTTATTTATAGTGATGTTTGATGCCATTGCAATTCTAACATCTCTGTCTTTTTGCTAGTGAATTCAACCAATATACCATTTTAAATTATCACCTTTGATTGTCTAATTTTTCTTCTGCCTAATTAAAAGACATCAATTTTGTTTTTTAATTTCATTTATATGGAATCAATTTGTGTTTCTGCAGATTCTAATCTGTGAAAAATAATTGCAATTTTAAAAAGTGTTGAATACAAGAGCTGGATCCTCTTTAAAATCAGTGCCTGTGATGGTGCTTTTAGGGTAGACACTACCCTTGCTTTTAGAGTAAACCCAATACCTTTGGCATCTTTTTCAAGAGCAAAGATGAAGAAATGACTAAATTGTGTCTCTTTGTAAGACTCAAATTATATTCATATTTATTATGGCAATTGATATAGCTGAAAAGACCATTATAAAACAGACTGGAAAAATAAGAAATTTGAGAAGGAAATGAAACCATCCGCGTAACAGTATTACTAAAATATAAAATTACGTTGATACTATATATTGGTGAAAATGAAATAACCCAGGTGACCTTTCTATCAATCTAAATCTGTTCCTATCTATCTATCTATCTATCTATCTATCTATCTATGTCAGTCTTTTCATATCTATCAATCTATCTCAGTCAGTTCATAACTATCTATCTATGTAACTATCTATCTATCTCTCCAGTTAACTATCAATCTCTGTCAGTCTTTTCATATCTATCTATCTGTCAGTTCATATCTATCTATCTATCTATCTATCTATCTATCTATCTATCTACCTAAATGCAATCATGTTTCAGTACTATAGGTGCTTCTTCAGGACCTATAGTTGTTGAAACATGATTATATTTATGTAGAAGTTTGCAACATGTTTTTGATATAATTATTAATAAATATTATCTATCTATCTGATCATTCTTATTTTTAATCTGACATTGTTCCTTACAAAATGTTACACTAATGGCCACTTTTTCCCAGTCATCCATTGATTGTTTCCAATTCATCCTTTCTGAGCAATGAAAGTCCTACCTTGTCTACAAGGATGCTAAGAGCTAAAATGCTGATACTGGTTGCAATCTATCTATCTATCTATCTATCTATCTATCTATCTATCTATCTATCTATCTCAGTCTGTTCATATCTAAGTCTTTTCATATCTAAGTCTAATCATATCTATCTATGTCTTTTCATATCTATCTATCTATCTATCTATTTATCTATCTATCTCAATCTGATCATACCTATGTAAGTCTATTCATATCAAAGTCTTTTCATATCTAACTGTTGATATCTATCTATCTATCTATCTATCTATCTATCTATCTATCTATCTATCTATCTCAGTCTAATCATATTTAAGTCTATTCATATCTAAGTCTTTCATATCTATCTATCTATCTATCTATCTATCTATCTATCTATCTTTCTCTCACAGTCTGTTCATATCTAACTCTATTCATATCTGTCTGTTGATATCTACTTCTGTATCTGTTTAAGCCTGTTGATATCTGTATCTATCTATCTATCTATCTATCTATCTCATTCTGTTCATATCTATCTAATCTAATCATATCTAAGTCTATTCATATCTAAGTCTTTTTATATCCATGTAAATCAGTTGATATCTATCTATCTCAATCTGTTTATATCTAAGTCTATTCATATCTATCTTCTCATATCTGTTCATTTCTTTCTATCTATCTATCTATCTATCTGTTTGTCTGTCTGTTCATGTCTATCTATCTACCTTCTTTCTTTACTCCCCCAGCAATGACCACTAAATGACATATTATTTTCACACAATGTCTGTAATCTTTGCTAACTTAAAAATCGTTCTTCATTGGTCATATGTTCTTTCCAGCTATGTTTAAACAATGTTTTTTGCAGTAGTTTGGTGTAGGTACCATCAACATCAAATCAAAAGGAATTTATTTTGAAAATATCTTTTGAACTTGCTTTTCTGCATTAGTAGACAGAGGATTTTTATATCCGCTTGCACACACACACACACACACACACACACACACACACAGAGAGAAGCCAGAATATAAATATATATATATATATATATATATATATATATATATATATATATTCTGGATCTTGCTTTTAGTCAAATTTATTCATCAAAATTTAAATCAAAATCATTTTTTTATCTTCCTCATCTTAATTCATGTCCTTTTATTGTTCTCTCTCCTCAATAATGTTTCTTTTCTCGTATTCTTCCACATTCAGTAAGCCCTTGGATTTCAGAGGCTTTATTCTATTTCCTGGTGCAAAATGATTACATATATATATATATATATATATATATATATTGAGGAGACATGATGGAGTTGGAGAGCTGAGTTCAAATTCCAGTCGAATCCAGTTACATTCACTTACGTGCTAATACCCTTGGGAAAGGTATGAATCCTCTTTTTCTACCTCCAAATGGGTAAATAGCAGGACAGATTGGGTTCTGATCTAGGAGAAGGAAAACTTTGAATTCAAAATCTGCGGAGGGTCATTTGGGGACCTTGTGTCACATAGTGCACCAGGTCTCTGTATTCGGCCCTTCAAAAAGTGTGGATGGTCCTGCACGAAACCTTCATCACTATAATCAAATCTTATGTGCTGTTGTCGGGCTATAGGTTTCCCAGGAACTGATCTGCTTGACCCCTCATATGTCAAATTTGATGTGAGAGTCGAATAATATATATATATATATATATATATATATATATATATATATATATATATATATATATATATATATATATATGTTACTGAATCATTCATATAAAAAAGTAGATTGGTAAAGTTAATGATATAAATGGAAAATCCTTTTCAAAACAAAATTTTAAAGTTGCATTAACCTACAAATCATTCGATGAATGTTATGATCCTTGTTTTTAATAACTGCAAGCTGTATCAGGTCTTTTTTAAAAATCTGCAAGTACTTTCAACTGTACATACAGTCATCCTCAGGCATGGAAATTATTTTGTTTTTACTAAAATCCAGGTAGCATCAGAGACGAAAAAATTAAATGTGAATTGAAATATGTTTTTTTTTTTTGAAATGTGTTATTGTTAACGGATAAAAACTTTTGGAGCATGCAGTGGCAATGCTAAGGTTAAATTTTTTGAAAATTTAACAGAGTGCATTTTACTAATATGTTAATTTGATAATTTTTATACACATATGTATATATATATATATATATATATATATATGGAGAGAGATATAAAGAGAGAGAGAAAATAATATATATATATATATATATATATATATGGAGGAAAAGAAGAAAGATAGTTATTTTTAGAAGATGTTCAAGTAACTTATTTTATATCTCTTGACCAACTCCAGAGTTTTACATGACATTTCATTGAGTGCATATTAGCAAATTAATTTGATGCTTATTAGCGGTGTTAAGCGAAGTGATCAATGAAGAGAAATTTCAACATTTATAAATTTATTGAATATTTCAACAATAATTATCTGACTTTCTTTGAAAATATCCTGCTTGAATATAAATATGTTTCAACTGGTTAAATTCTAGTTTGTTTAGCATATTTTGAGAGGTGCCATTGAGTTCTTTTCATCTATCTATCTATTCATCTATTCATCTATCTAAGGATCTTTTCATTATCTGTCTGTGTTTCTATCTATCTATCTATCTATCTATCTATCTATCTGGTACATTGCGCCAGACATATAAGAATACTGTTTAGTGAACTAGTAATTGAAAACGAACTGTTATACGGCTTACAACAAATTTTAGTATACTCATTTCTCATTCAGATGTATCAAGTGCATTAACAAAACTTCCAATCTGACACAGGAAATGAATCGCAATCCATGCTCGTGGCATTAGCCACCAACCACATTGATTTGGAGATCTCACGAGCTTCGTGTCAGTTGCCCAACTTCTTTTAGGGACTCATGGTCATGGTCAATGCTACTACCTATGTGCTATATGATATGGTGATCAAACCCTGGAACAAGAGTGTCCAAAGAGAAACCAACCAAAGTGTGAATGTTAGTGTGAGCACACACACACACACACTTGCACATACACACGCACATATGTATGTGACGGAGAAGTGAAAATTTCTTGAATGTTTTGAATCAATTCTTGGTCAAGTGACCAAGAATTGATTTAAAATAAATTCTGATTTTTCTTCATTTGGTCGGATTTCAAAAAGAGGCTCAACTGAGGACATTTAAACCCCATCTCCTACCTTTATAATAACATAATTTACATTTTTTCCACCATCCTTGTTCTGAGGACGAGTGATGATGACTCTCCACAATTTCCTTATTTTAATATCTGTAATTGTGGATCATTGTGACTTTTTGTACGGTTTTGATTCCCGAGTTCTTTAGGCACTTTTAATTGCCCTGTCAAGGCTAGAGACCCAAGTCTGACCATTATTTTATCTAGAGGTGATAGAGGCATCGGCGTACCTCACGATCGTAGAATTTGCCGCCCGTCTAAACAACATTCCAAAACTGGACAACATCTACAAAATATAAAGAAAGTCTATCATTACGATCTTTTATTTTTGTTTCCAAATAAATAAATAAAAATGCAATAGCAAAAATAAGTACATGGAAAAAATATATATTTAAAGATAATTATATAAGTTGTTTTTTTTTTTTTTTATTATTATTAAAGAAACGACCTTTGGTTAAAGTGTTATTTGCATAACATTATAGGCATTATGAAAAAACCCTGCAAGAGTAACGACTCAGTGTACAATGTTCAAAGTAACTTCGTCTGATGGTGACAACTAGAAAGTGAATTTTAGGTAAAAAAAAAAAAAAAAAGAAAGAAAGAAAGAAAGAACAGTTAGAAGAAATTAAAAAATGGTACAATTATATTTGCATGCTAATTTATTATTCTAACCCCTCCACACACACAAAACACAAAAAAAAAAACTTACACCTCCGCAGTCTCGCCTCAAAATAAAGAGATAAAAGATGATTTCATGCCTTTCCTAGAGTATTATAGCAAATGAAAGAAGCAGTATCTTATTCGTAATGCATTAGTTTATTGAAATACATTTTCCTTTTTTTTTTAAAATATTTTTCACCCATTACAAGGCTTATGAGCCAATCAGGCAGAGGTTACTAAATGCGATTTAATATATAGTGTGTACAATGGTGATGGGCGGAGCAAGAAATTTATGAGCTTACATAGGACAGGTAGCGGTTGACGCAAGACGTAAGAGTGTTGTGACCTGGAAACATCCTTTCGTGAGTCTATTCATATTACAGCGGGGAAAAAGAATATAGAGAAGAACTTCCTCATTAGCAAATGGAATAGGAAAAGAAAGTGGAAATTGAGTCGACTCTGAAAATGGTTCTGGTGGGTCCTAAGCTTTGATTTTATCAGTAATGCTTACATACATTCCTGACCAATAACAATCTCATTTGTATTCATTTTCAATGAATTTTCTACTAAAATAGTTTACATATCGTCTTTCTGTACACACACATATATATATATATATATATATATATATATATATATATATATATATATATATATATATATTAGTAGTAAATATACACATACATATACAAAATATATAAATATATACATACATACATACACATAGATATATTTTTGAATAAAAAATTTGAAGGATAGAATCAAAATTAGGGCACTCAATGTCCAGGACAGGCAGGATATAATAAAAAAGGCTTAAACACTCATATTCAATGAATATTGGTGTTTAAACCTTTATATATATATATATATATATACTATATATCTTATTATATATATATATATAATTTATATAAATTTTTGGATTTTTTTTTTTTTTGGGGAAATATTTTGTTTTTGTATAGAATTTTTTAAAAAACAAATCAGGAGAACAACATGTTGAGCCCCTTTGTGCTAGGGGTTTTGCAAAAAGCCTTGTTGTTTCCAATCGTTGAAAAAACCCAAAACATGAAAATTGCTTTTTTTGAGCATGTATTACCTTTTACAAAATCACTAGAAAAATTTTCAAAATATAAATTTTAATGGCCTCCTGTACATATCCCCCGGATATATCGGGGGCCCAGAACACCACCTCAAAAACAAGTAATTTTGGGGGCCCAAAATTTTTTTTCATATTTTTAAAAAAAAATTTATTTGGGAATTTTTTTATTTTTATTTTTAAATTTTTACACCCACAGACAGCAGTCTTTTTCATGATTATATACAATTGTCAACACTGATGATTGCATATAAAACATGAAAAATACTGCCT